AGCTATTATTAACAACATTTCAGTAAGCTTAATAGCTTGTCTGTTTCGGAGGTTAGAGTTGGTAAAATGGCCTAATAAACACACCTCTGGATCCATTGGGAAATCAATTCCATGAACCTGTGATATGCTATCACATACTTGCACCCAAAACCCCTTAACTTTAGGACTCAACCAGGTGGAATGCAAAAATGTCCCTTCTTCTGTACCACATCTGAAGCAGAGGGTGAAATAGTGTAGTAAAGCTGGTGTAAAAAATTAAACTGAATTAATCTATACCTAGAATTCAAGGTTGAGGTGACCCCATCTTTACATCATTGACCCCACAGGTCCCCATCTATTCTTACCCCCAAACCCTGCTCCCATCTCCTCCTGGATTTATCTGGGTCATCTAAAGGCTGATTTGAGATCATAGCTTCATATATTCTAGAGATTGGTTTATATAGTGGTTTGCATATTTGGATTTTATAACATTCTTTTAGTTACAGCATCTTGAAAAAGGGACGTTTCTTTATTTGCCTAGTTAATTTACTGGCCCTCGTGTGCTTCCAAACCGGCATGAAGAACGTAGATTTACATTCAGCCTCATTTCTGCCTTCATCTGTGTTTAGCACACACACATTCATGTTTTATTCTGGATTACAGATGAAAATGTAAAACTTTGGGTTTTATTCATACATTATTATATATCGTGTTATTTCCTTAATTCATTTCAAATAAACACTGATCTTTCAGAAACACTGCCAAGATGCTGAAGAAACCTTTCTTATTAAATCCCAGCTGGAAAAGGCTGTGCTGCTTCATGAAGTGTGGAAACTGCCATACAGCTTCAGTTTCAGGATTCACTCATTAACTACCATCTCTAGAAACATTATAAATGCTGAAAAAGATCCATTTCTCTGTCTGTTTCTCTTCAATAATCTGAGGCCAAACTTTCCTTCATGTAGATTGTTAGCTGGACAAAAACTCATGAGCAAACGGGTAAGAGACTCAATGTTTTGTCAAAAGTTTCTCCCATAATGAGCAAAACAGAGACCCAAACTGATTAAAAAAAGACACAAACAGCCCAGAAGAGACTGGAGCTGACAGGAGGAAACATTATATTACCATACCGCAGGAGGAAAATGACAGAGATAGAGAGCGATCTGAGTGTCAGACAGACACTGACTCTCCACAAGAGCTTTTTAAAGCTTCTGTCCTCCATTACAGCTGTGATCAATGAGTCTTCCAGCATTCTGATTGGTGGAGGAGGACGAGTGGGAGGAGCCTAGAGTAATCAGTCAGAGTGAGTAATCAGCTCCTTTACTCCTCATCTCTCTCTTTCTCTCTCAATTAATGTTTTCAGGTTAAAGTCGGTGAAATGGGGAAGTTTCGTAAGATGTGTTCAGACTGCTATGACAAATGAGATTTTTTGTACATCCAGATTTTATCCAGATGCATTTTTGAAAGTCTGGACAGTGACAAACACATGAAATCTGATGTTTTCAGCATACTGTTGGAGTGTGTGTGAAAGAGCAGCGCTTCAAATACATGTGTATAAAATATTACTGCTGTGCTGTTTGAAAACGTCTGGTGTTGAAGCTTAATTTCTCGTTAATTTAGCAACTCTATCAAATAAATACCTAGGGTTGTATTTGTTTTAAGGCCTTTCTGTAAGCAATAGCACTGTCTTTCAACAAAATATAAAAATACCTCTAGTTTAGTTTTCTTCCAGCTACGCTCCATGTTTCTGGCTGCTCTCTTAAGGGCCGGAGTGTGCTCGCTGTACCACGGCGTTGGACTATTTTCTTTAATCTTCTTTAAGCGCAAAAACTTCTTTACTGCATCTAAAGTGCTGGAAAAGAGAGAGTTAAAAGTTTCTGTTGCAATATCGAGTTCTTCTAAGCTATCTGGGATGCTGAGATGATGAAACTGATTAGGAACATTATTGATAAAGCAATCTTTAGTGGCAGAAGTTATAGGTCGAACGTATTTATAACACGGAGTCGGCTTTGCAGCCTTGGCTAAATGTAATTTACACGAGACTAGATAATGATCTGAGATGTCATCGCTCTGCTGCAGAATTTCAACGGCATCAACATCTATTCCATGTGATAGTATTAGATCTAGAGTATGATTACGACAATGAGTAGGTCCTGACACGTGTTGTCTAACTCCAATTGAGTTTACAATATCTTTAAATGCCAATCCCAATGCATCTTTTTCATTATCTACATGTATATTAAAATCACCAACAATTAGTACTTTATCTGCAGCCAATACTAATTCTGATAGAAAGTCCGCAAATTCTTTGATAAAATCTTTATGGTGCCCTGGTGGCCTGTATACAGTAGCCAGCAGAATTCTCAAATGTGATTTATCGTTTACACTATATATTTTTACATTAAGCACCAACACTTCAAAAGAAGTATATTTAAAACTAGATTTCTTAGTGGTTTTGAAAATATTACTATAAATTACAGCAACACCTCCCCCTTTGCCTTTCAGACGAGGTTCATGTTTATAACTGTAATCTTGTGGGGTTGACTCATTTAAAGTAATGTAATCGTTTGGTTTTAGCCAGGTTTCTGTCAAACACCGCACATCTAGATTATAATCTGAAATCATATCATTAACTATGAGTGATTTTGAAGTAAGGGATCGAATATTCAGCAACCCAAGCTTTATCATTTGCTCATCTGTATTATATCTGGTTTTTATTTGTTGAACATCAATTACATTTTTAACCTGACGTTTTTTGGATTTCCTAATTCGGGGAACAGACACAGTCTCTATATGATGATATCTAGGTGAAAGAGGCTCTATGTGATGGGATTTATCTGACCTTGGTGACGCGAGGCCGCTAGCAGACGGTCGGTTTAGCCAGTCTGTCTGCTTCCTGACCTGAGCCCCAGATTGTCACGTGCATATGAAAAGCCGTTTTTCGCGTGCATTTGATACGCACTTTATTGCGTGTAATACACACGCACCCCACACCACTACTAAACCTACCCATGCGTATCATATGCATGTAAAAACTCATTTAAATTGCACGATAAACACTGCGTGCTATAGAGACGCATTTAGTGTGATCGTGTGATTTACAAAACTAGACACGCATAGTTGTCTTTTCATTATTCTTTGGATGGCTATTTTCGCTGTCAACTTTCCTCTTTAGACTCTGATAGTGCCATTTTCTCTCATCAGCTAGCTTAAATGTTAACATCACTACACACGATATAATAGCGTACCTCCAGCCCGCAAACAATAAAAAAAAAGCAGTTTAGTATGCAAGGATGCCAAGGAATAATTCTAAGTTTAAAAGTAGTCTATACGTCAAATAATTATTACAATAAGTTAGACTCCATTGTGTAACAAGCAAATTAAACATACACATTTATTATTCACAATATGGAAAGAGGAAATAAAACATAGTTTGTTAAGAGCATGACTCAAAAATGCCATTAATGGGCTTATTTAAGTCCTCTATTTTTTTAGTTATTTTCATCCATTCCGCATCTCCCACATGTGTGTTTTGGCAAGGCGGGATGTGTTGCACGATGCCGCAATATCGGGAGACATGTGGGTCAGACATGATTTTGACCACTTCATTAAGTTTTGTTTTGTAGAAAGCCTTTCTGAAAATTGAAAATTTTGTTTTGTATCATTTGTATCTTATTTTTAATCAATGTTTTATCAACCAATTGCCTGGATTTAATAAATAAGAAACAAATATAGCAGACAATATAATCAGGACATGGAGGCGCCGGCAAGATTGCATTGCTCGTGAACTGGATCTCTTCATAAATGAGCCGAAACTCAGCGTTTAAGCTGCCTCACAGACACAAAAAAATATATAGAAAGCTTAACAATATATAATTTTAAACTAAACAATTCAAAACGAAAAGAAACCTATCCTACTCTCTGCTTATATAATCCATATGAAAAGTGCATTTCTCTCCATAGGCGCGCTACCGCGGTCACTATATTGCAGCCGACACAGACACTAATGAACAATTATAATGTCTCCTTGCTATATTTGAAACATTCATAATCATTACTTTTGCCGGTTCCTTGTGACAGCTTTTGCGTTATTGGCAGCGTCACCCTCTGGTTACATCAGCACCGAAAACATCGGGATTTTTTTAGACAATCGCACAACCCATTCGATATTCTATAATTAAATCAATAAATCAAATATTCAGGATTTAACACTGAGTAACAGCTCACTACCAGTTACAAAAGACACTGTAACAGTCTGTCACAGGCAATTCTAGTTTCATTTTTCATCAATTAATTTCTTAAATTATCCATTGACTATGTTCTGGCCCGCCATCTAGTGTCAAAAATATTTTTTGGCCCGATGCCAACTTTACTTGCCGACCCCTGTTCTAGGTATTATCAACTGGCCGGAATTTTGAGATCGCAATAGACGTGAAGGACTATAATGCGTTAAGAGCTCGCTCAAGTACTGGGAGCTAAACCATTTAGTGCTTTGTAAGTAATCAACAATATTTTAAAATTAATACAATGTTTAATAGGCAGCCAATGCAGTGTTGACAGAACCGGGCTAATATGGTCATACTTCCTGGTTCTGGTAAGAACTCGAGCTGCTGCGTTTTGGACCAGCTGTAGTTTGTTTATTAAGCGTGCAGGGCAACCATCCAGTAGAGCATTACAATAATCTAGTCTTGATGTCATGAACTAATTGTTCCAAATTTGTCAATGAGAGCATATGTCGTAATTTGGATATATTTTTAAGATGGAAAAATGCGGTTTTACAGATACTAGACACGTGACTTTCAAATGAAAGATTGGTATCAAAGAGCACACACACACACACACACACACACACACACAGGTTCCTAACTCAGTGGCTGTAAGTGGGTTAGGAATAGGATTTCAAGTGATTTTGAAAAAATGGACAAAAAAGAGAATCACATACCCCACCTTTAATTTTGTGAATTGGTAAGTTTCGTCAAACACACCATATCTAGGTTAAAATCTGAAATCATAGATCTATGATGTCCGCAGCACCTGGGCCCCCGGACCCCAACAGCTCCCAGGTCCCCAAGCAGGACCCGGGCACCAAGCAGCTCCCGGGCCCCAAGCAGAAGCAGGACCCCACACAGCCCCAACAGCTCCCGGGCCCCAAGCAGAAGCAGGACCCCACACAGCCCCAACAGCTCCCGGGCCCCAAGCAGAAGCAGAAGCAGGACCCCATACAGCCCCAGCAGCTCCCGGGCCCCCAAGCAGGACCCAGGCCCCCAACAGCTCCCGGGCCCCAAGCAGCTCCCAGGTCCCCAAGCAGGACCCGGGCACCAAGCAGCTCCCGGGCCCCAAGCAGAAGCAGGACCCCACACAGCCCCAGCAGCTCCCGGGCCCCCAAGCAGGACCCAGGCCCCCAACAGCTCCCGGACCCCAACAGCTCCCAGGTCCCCAAGCAGGACCCGGGCACCAAGCAGCTCCCGGGCCCCAAGCAGAAGCAGGACCCCACACAGCCCCAACAGCTCCCGGGCCCCAAGCAGAAGCAGAAGCAGGACCCCATACAGCCCCAGCAGCTCCCGGGCCCCAAGCAGAAGCAGAAGCAGGACCCCACACAGCCCCAACAGCTCCCGGGCCCCCAAGCAGGACCCAGGCCCCCAACAGCTCCCGGGCCCCAAGCAGCTCCCGGGCCCCAAGCAGCTCCCGGGCCCCAAGCAGCACCCGGGCCCCAAGCAGCACCCGGGCCCCAAGCAGCACCCGGGCCCCAAGCAGCACCCGGGCCCCAAGCAGCACCCGGGCCCCACGCAGCTCCCGGGCCCCACGCAGCTCCCGGGCCCCACGCAGCTCCCGGGCCCCACGCAGCTCCCGGGCCCCACGCAGCTCCCGGGCCCCACGCAGCTCCCGGGCCCCACACAGCTCCCGGGCCCCACACAGCTCCCGGGCCCCCAACAGCTCCCAGGCCCCCAACAGCTCCCGGGCCCCCAAGCAGGACCCAGGCCCCCAACCGCTCCTGGACCCCAAGCAGGACCCGGGCCCCCAACCGCTCCTGGACCCTAGCAGCTTATCATAAAGCAAGGTTATTATTATCATTAAGAATATTAATTTCATTCAGCAGAGTCTTTTATACTCAGAAACAGGATGTTTGAAATTATAGCCCATCCGCGCATCTCTACTGAGTGTTTACTTGTCTTTAATAATGATTGGAATGTATATTAGGCTAGTTGCTTTTCTATGGTGTTTTTAAACCAGTCAAACAAGATTTTTGTTCATATTCAGCTACAAATAAATGTTTTGCAATAAGAATAAATGTGAATGATATCCAATGATATCCATTCGATTTTTAAAAATTAAGGCCATAAAAAGTCTTAAATAGTCTTATTTTTACTTATGAAAGGTCTTATATTTTCGATGGCAATTTGAATTAGACATATCTAAATGTTTTCCAAATTAGAACCATCTATTACCGTACTTTATTTCTTATTCTTTCTTTGTGGATTTGCTTGTTCACGTGACATTGCGCGTAACATTCGCGGCAGCATTGCGTCTGTCTCCTGCACGCGAGAGGAGAGAAGCAGCAAGCTGGTAAATGTCCGTTCAATTCTAAGTTCATTCTTTATGTGTTTAGTGGTGTGCAATGCAATGTGTATTGTCTATTATGATATTGTAATCATTGTTTTAACGATGTACGAGTCACTGCGAGCTAACATCGCTTTTGTCTCTCGTGCTTTCACTGCGTTATGTGACTGCGGTCACGCCATTTATGCATATAAATATATTGCGCGTCTACACGAGGTTGCGTGGTAGGCGAAAGGTGTAGCCTATGCGCTTGGTGTCGGCAGACTTAAATAAATAAATAAATAAAATCAAATTGTTTTCTGCAAACTCCAACAGATTATTGGTCTACATCTCACTGACTACCAATGCGATGATTTTCATGTTGTTATACTGTTTTATTCTTTAATAATGGCTAATCTTGTGGGGTTGACTCATTTAAAGTTGTTTCATGTTCATAAAGGAGACTTGTGATGGGTCAAACACTAGCTTTTATTCAGCTCACTTCACATGGCTATCCTCGTGCATTTCTGATGTTTTTATACACTCCTTCGCCTTGTCTCGCCCCCATCCCAAGATAGCTCACTGGTGCCCTCTATTGGCTGACCTATATCGTAACATCTCCCTTCACATAACAAAGGAAAGTTCTTGAAATTGAACAACAGAACACATAACCCAACTTAATCAGAAAACCCCTTATACAGATCAACAGGTTTAACAAAACTAACTGTTATTCTGTGAATAGCTTAATGAATATTTCAGTAAGCATGACTTTTTTTTTTTTTTTTTTACATAACATAGTCTTTAGAGTATCTAGCAGGCATTTTTATGTTGGATCTGGTTCTTGTGTGTCTTAGAATTGGGACTGTGGGTGGTACGGTATCTTCTTTGTTTGTTATTTGCTGTGCGGTGCTCTCTGAAGACTCTCCTGTCCCCCAGTATTCATCATTTATGGTGAGTTGGTCTGTTGGTAAGGTGACTTTGAGCTGTTCAGGCACGGGACGAATGTCTTTCCTGTTGCGACGGTATTTCTTGCCTTTCACTGGCAGTACGTAGGAACGGTCACTGAGCTGATCGATGCAGATGCCAAGCGCCCATGTACTGGCTGGGTTATTGGGGTGAAGAAGGACCCGCACTGTCTGCCCTTGAATTATGCTTGGCATGTTGCGTGCTGTAGTGTCATAGCGTTGCTTCACTGCTGCTCCCTTGGCTGTTTTTCTTGTAACAACTTCTTGCACCACTTTAGGCTGCAGAAGGGCCTCTCCAGTAGGCAGTGTGGTGCGTGTTCTCCGTGACATGAGCCTTTGAGTTGGAGAGCTATCAAGGCCTTCTGTTGGGGTGTTTCTCCATGCCAGCACTGCTTTCCAGAGGTCTCCCCCTTCCAAGGTGGACTTTTTTATCAGTGTTTTTGCTATTTTTACAGCTGACTCTGCTTTACCATTGCTTTGGCTGTGATATGGTGATGATGTGACATGGTTAAAGTCCCATTCCTCTGCAAATTTTTGAAAATCCATGCCACTGAAAGGCGGTCCGTTGTCTGTGAAAACCTCAAGGGGAATGCCATGTCTGCTGAACTGTCTTTTGCAGCACTCAATGACTGTGGATGATGTGTAATCTGGCATGCTGTCTATCTCCCAGTAGTCAGAATAGTAATCCACCATAATTAGGAACATGGAGTCGTTTGCAGTAAATAGATCCATTCCTATTTTGGACCATGGAAGGTGAGGTATTTTGTGTGGAATCAATGTTTCCTTTTGCTGTTTCACATGGATAGTGTTGCATGTGGCACAACTGCTGACAAAGTTTTTGACTTCATCTGTGATGCCAGGCCAGAAAACTGCCTCACGAGCCTTTCTCAGGCTAGCCTCAATTCCAGAGTGTCCAGTGTGGATTTTTTCTAAAAAGGCAGGCCGCAAAGCTTCAGGAATGAGAATCCTCTGTCCTTTGAATATCAGGCCACTGTCACTGGCTAATTCCTCTTTGAAAGTCCAGAATGGTCGCAGTAAGCCATTGACAGCACATTTGTGGTTGGGCCAACCGGTTTTAATGCAGGCATGTAGTTTTTGGAATAGCGTGTCTTTGGCAGAGTGTGTTTTGATGGTTTCCAATGTCTTCGTGGAGATATTGATACCGCTGGAATGGCTAACTTGTTCAAAGTCCTGTGATGTAAGACCCATTGTGTATACTGAGGCTGGTGTCTGCATTTGTGAGTGTGTCATGCTCGTCTGAGGCGCTCTAGAGAGGAAGTCGGCGAAGTGCAAATCCTTGCCTGGTTTGTACTGCAGGTGTATCTGATATCTCTGTAGCCTCAATTGCATCCTCTGTAACCGCTTGGGTGCTGTCAGCAAGGGTTTTTTGAAGATTGCTTCAAGTGGTCTGTGATCACTATGTACAGTGATGTGCTCTCTTCCATGTAGATACTGGTCAAATTTATCACACGCAAAGACAATGGCAAGGCATTCTTTTTCAATCTGAGCATATTGTTGCTCTGTTGGGGTCAGTGTCCTGGACGCAAATGCAACAGGTTGTCCTTTCTGTAGGAGGGCTGCCCCTAAGCCTTTCTCGCTGGCATCACATTGCAGTGTGACCTCCTCTTTGATGTCATAGTATTTAAGTACAGGGTAGTGAGTGACTAAATCTTTGATCTTCTCCAAAGCAGCGTCATGCTTTTGTAGCCACGCCCAGTCAACGTCCTTGTCTGTCAGCCTTCTGAGAGGTTCACATATGTCTGACAGACGTGGCAGGAACTTTGACAAGTAGTTTACAAACCCCAAAAGCCTTTGGAGGGATTTTACATCGGTCGGTGTTTGCATGTTCTGGATTGCAGTTATTTTCTGCGGGTCCGGGCGTAAGCCTTCTTTTGTGAGGAGGTAACCCATGTACGTTACACTAGGGAGCTTCAGCCGAAGTTTCTTTCTGTTCAGCTTCAAATTGACTTCCCTAGCTCTCTGTAGTAGGGCTGAGATGTTCTTGTCATGATCTGCCATTGCCTCTTTTGTAGTGTTGCCACACCCATAGACAAGAATGTCATCTGCAATCACACTGACTCCTCTAAGACCCTGCAATGCTTCATGCTGTCTCCTTTGGTACTCTTCAGCTGCCGGTTTTATTCCGAATGGCATCCGAAGCCACCTGTATCTTCCTTCAGGCGTCCAAAATGTGGTGAGGTAGCTGCTGGCTTCATCCAGCTTGATTTGCCAATAGCCATCCTTAGCATCGAGAACTGTGAAAATTTTTGCATTGGTTATTTCTGGAAGGATTTCTTCAATTGTGGGAATCTGGAAGTGTGATCTGAGCAAAGCTTTGTTCAATGGGGTAGGATCGATGCATATGCGCAGCTTGTCATTCTTTTCTATAACCACCATGTTGCTTATCCATGGGGTCGGTTCCGTAACTTTAGCAATGACCCCCTTTTGTTCCATTTCCTGAATGGCTTTGGTAATTTTTGATTTGATGGGAATAGGAATCCGTCTTGGTAACTGCTGTACAGGCTGGACTGTGGGGTCAATCTCAAGGTGTAGTTCCCCTGGGAGGCATCCTAATCCATCAAACACATCTTCATACATGGAGATGATTTCATCCGTTGTGTTGGGTGCGACTGACTCCTCTTTCGTGTCAATATTGTGTATTACGTGGTTGGTGTTTAATTGAAGTAGATTGAGTTTCTGGCAGGTTTCAGCTGAAAGCAGTGGTGTGTGCGATGTCTCCATTACTTGAAATCTGAGGATGTATTTGTGCCCTTCATGGTCTGTTTTGAGGTCACATTCACCCTTAGGCTTGATTAGCGTGCCATCATACAGCTTGAGTGTGGCTTTGCTGGGCATTAAAACTGGATTGCCGTCTTGCAGTAAGCGTTGGAGGTCACGAAAACCGATTACATTGACTGTGGAGCCTGTGTCTAGCTGGCACTTCAGGGTATAATTGGAATCGTCATTGAATGACTTTACGTTGTGTGGGGTCAGCTTCAGATTTATAAACCATTTGCTTTGGTTGGCTTGCATACAGTTTACATGTGAGATGTACCACATTGCATCTGCTTGTTCTTCAGACTGGACGTCTGCCTCTACTAAGTTCAGCTGTGGTTTGTGTTGTCGTTGTTTGCAAACACGTGCAAAATGATTTCGTTTGCCACATGTTTTACAGATTACACCATAAGCGGGGCATTTGGCTTTTGCATGCAGTGATCCACAGTACTGGCATGAGTTATGTTGCCTTTTTTTGTGATCCTCAGATACGTTTGTCTGTTTGTACCCCTGCCTGCCGCATTCGGAATAGTTTTCTCTGGAAGTGAAGTTGATGACGTCATCCCGCTCCGCTCCGCTTATTTTCTGTATTTGCAGTTGCGCCTGTTCACTCGCGCGACACATGTCTATAGCCGTGTTCAGTGTGAGCTTTGGTTCACGCAACATCCGTGCTTGTGCACTTGAATCCTTTGTGCCTATGACCAGCCGGTCACGGATCAACTCTTCTCTTAATTCACCAAATTCACACGTGTCTGCTAACTT